GGGAGGGGAGAGTGAGATGGGAGAGGGGAGAGAGGAGGGCGAGAGGGGAGGGGGAGAGGGGGACGGGGGAAGGGGTAAAGAGTGACATGATGTGATTAGATTGAGGGGAATATATACGTATAAAACGTTTCTTTCTTTCTTTCTTTCTCTCTTTTTGTCTTTCTATCTTTCTCTATTGATCTATTTATTGACATTTTTGCTCTTCTGTGCGTCTTTTCTCATCTAACACGTCACGTCCTTCCACACGTGCAAACACATACAACGACATACAACGACAGGCACAGCACGCTGGCTCTGTCACCTCTCTCCCAGGTTTCTCTTTTACTCAAACAAACAAACAAACAAACAGACAAACAGGCAAACAATCAGACAATCATACAAACAAACAAATAATGTGAGTAAATATAAAGGTGTATCTTACCTTTGTATGACGCCGCTGGTAGAGTTCACAGGGTACTGATAAAGCAAACACAAAGCACATATCAAGATATACCGTGCAGGCATTATTAAGGGGGAAACAAAGCTTTAGAACACAATAACAACGGCAATTTTAATAATAATTACTTATTATTTCACATGCTGAAAAGTCAAATGGGTGGGGAAATTACAGAAGTGAGATGAAAAGGTACACTTTGTAGGCGACTGGGGTAAAACTTTCTTGGCTACTGACGTAAAACTTTCTTGGCGACTGGCGTAAAACTTTCTTGGCTTCTGACGTAAAACTTTCTTGGCGACTGGCGTAAAACTTTCTTGGCTACAGACGTAAAACTTTCTTGGCTACTGACGTAAAACCCTCGTTTCATAAGACAGCTCATTATGTCTGTGTTTGCAAAATGAAGTATTTTACTGGGTGAGGGGGAAGGGGGTGTTCCGCGGGCACTTGTCAAGTGTAGACGGTTAATGGGATGTTAATCACAGTGCCCTGAGAATGTGCTGTTTTGTCGGTCTGAATATTCATCGCAATAACTAATGACTGTATTATAATGATATGTACATTTGAAAAGGATCAATACAGACACTGCTCTCTCTCTTTCTCTCCCCCCTCCTCCTCTCTCGCTCATAACGCTCACGGTAGGATTTCGACATGTGACTGTTTGTCCACCCCCCCCCCCTCAATATGCCTGTAGGGAGATCGCGAGGAGAGGCAAGCAGCCTTATCAATGTATTTAAAGTAAAGTTGTTCCCGCATCCGGTTCGGAGATTGGGGGTTGTCTTGTTAGTGAGACAACTTCCTGGGCCTTTGGCATATTGTGGTAGGGTGGCCAGTTTCTTTCCACGACGCCTTTACTTCCCCTACTCGAAGTCAGGCACCCATTACTGCTGGGGACGAAAAAAATCCGTGTCCGAATCGAGGCTCGAACCTGAACTTTCCGCCTCGGAGACGAGCGCACTAACCGCTCCGCCACCGGACCCTCCCTTGTCAATGTATTTTGTGATTATTCCAACTTTGTAGAAAATATTGACCATGTGACATGTAACTATTTGCCCCCCCCCCTCTTCAGTGTGCACGTGGGGAGATCGCAGGAGGGTCAATCAGGCTGATCAATTTATTTTATGATTCTTCCAACTTTGTGGAGGATTTCAATCATCTGATTGTCTGCTCCCCCACCCTCACTCCCCCTCCTCTCAGTGTGCCCCAGGGAAGATCGCGTGGCTTCAGCTTTAAAGTATTTGGAGGGCCAATCAGGCTTGGCAATGTATTTTATGATTCTTCCAACTTTGTGAAGGATTTCTACCATCTGACTGTTTGCCCCCTCCCTCCCCTCCCCTCCCCGCCCCTCTCAGTGGCCAGGTTGTAGATAAAGAAGGAGCACACATCCTCCCCTCCCCTCCCTCACCCCATAAGTGTGCCCATGGGGAGATCGTGTGGACGGATGTACCCCCGGCGTCTGTGAGCTCATCCAGCCAGACGGTACTCAGCTGTCCCGCCAGTGCTGCAGCACGTGCGACTACGTCACCGAGCGGAAGTGCGTGGACGGGTCCATGAGTGGTGTGTCCTGTGACGTCATCGTGAGCCAGGGAGCGACACAGCCCTGCTATAACCCCACTGTGGCCTATCATTGCTGTGCCTCGTGTACAGCCCTGAGGACTGCCGTGGCAGGTGAGAGAGAGAGAGAGAGAGAGAGA